GCTGTCTCTGCCCAAAAGGAGTTTTAAAAATGTAACAAGGTATAACATTTTTTTTATTAATGTCATGCCCTTATCTCTGGGGCCATACCATTTTAATGTATAGGAGTTGGCTTTTATCTATACTGGTTTTTATGAGGGATATATCAAAGGCCAAAGAAAGGTATGTAGCCCTTTCCTCAGACAGACCATAAGATTGATTGATCAATCTCTCTCTCTCTCTCTCTCTCTCTCTCTCTCTCTCTCTCACACACACACACACACACAAAGACTGGCTATGGAAACATCAGCGGTGAACCTAGAAGAAAGGCTTCTCCCTACTTGAGAACCTTCGGTGGCTCCCCGATCACCACTAGGAAGAAACCCAAACTCCTTCAGAAGTGGCTAAGAGCTTTCAGACCATATGTGCAGTCCTGTCTCTATAGCCTCTCTGGTCACAAGGAATGATTCACAGCTCCCCCAAAACATGCAGGTCCCCTCCATATCCTATGTCTCTTCCTCCCACACCCTCCCACCTGGTGAACTCCTCCCTTTTCTCAAACATTATCTCCTTCAGGAAGCCTTCTGTGATTTCATTAGACTATGGTGCCCTCCAAGTGGTACTCTGAGAGCCCCCTTTATAGACATATTTTCATGCTGCAGTGATCTGATCACGTGTCTGCTTCCCCACATCTCCAATCATGTAATACCTCATTTCTGAGTACCTACTATGTTCCAGGCCCTATGGTGGTGCTTAGTGTACAAAAAGGCATGCCAGAGGCCTACATCATGAAGCTTACATCCCAGTAGAGCAGCAGATGACTAAGTGTCATCACAAGGGCTGGGAATGTGCTCAGAGTAGAGCACTTGCCTAGCATATTCAAAGCTCAGGGTCCAATTCCATTACTGGGGGAAAAAGTGTCATCATGGGCTCTACTGTTATAGAGCTCTCACACCCAGAAATGTTTGCCCAACGAATAAGTGACACCAAAGAGGAGACAGCCCTGAAGGTCTGGGTGCACTGGGAGGGGGTGGGTGAGATGGGTTACCTGGAGGCCAATGGACAACCTGTTGACTCCTGCTGCTCCAAATTCTGCCAGCCTGGAGGCTGGGGACGAAGTGGGATTAGCCTCCAGCGTGACTTCCGAGTCTGCAGGCAGGTGAGCTATCTGTGCCACAGCCTCCAGAACAGCAGCCACAGTATGGGGACTGGCCAGACTGGGGGTTCCCCCACCAAAGAACACAGACTCTACCCTGGGGAAAGATGATGGAGAAGATGACACCGGGAGAGGCCTGTGGCATGCTCTGCACCCGTCTTCCTCTCCAAGACCCTAGCTACAGTCCCCAGTACAGACCGTTGCACCCCGCTGAGCTGCAGCAGGGTCCGCACCTCAGTGACCAGACAGTTCCGCATGGCAGCCTCCTCCACGCCGCGAGGGATGTATTTATTGAAGTTACAGTAACTGCATCGCTTCTCACAATATGGCCACTGCGGGCAGAGGGTGTATGTGCAGGGTGAGGCGTGACTCTGGGCACCCTGGGCGCTTCCTGGGTTCACAGCCAACATTCCCATCCTCATTCCGAGGTCGGTCAACAGTGGCTAGGACATCTAAACCACCACTCCCAAAGCAGGTCGCCCTGGGATTACTATCCCCACTTTAGCATGAGAAAACTGAGGCTTGGAAGGTAAAGGTCACAGAGCTGGTGACTACCCTGACCTTGACATTTCCCTGCCAGGGCACCAGGTCCTATCGGAGACCTCGTCTGGGGGCGGGGAAAGACAGGAGGCAGGTCCACCGCGTGACAAACGCCACCTGGGTTCTGGTACGCCAGAACTCTGCCCTCCCGCCGGCCACTCACGTGCACGTAAACCGCCGCGCGCCTGCTCGCGGGCTCAGGACTTGGGGACCCTCCCACACTGTCCACCCGGCGGCGCCTCTGGGCCGCTTTGGCTGCTGCCACCAAGCCGCGGGTCCGGGCCGCGGGGAGAACCATGGCGCACAGCGCAGTGGGGACTGGGATCGTGCCCAGGGCGCACAGGTGTACGCAGAGCAGGGTCGCGTGTGCTGCCCAGGCGGAAGGAAGAGAAGCTGCGTGACCTCGCGCCGCCTCGGAAGGCCTCGGATCTGCGGCGCCACCTGCCGGACACCGATGCGCTCATCGCAGCCTCCTGTTCTTCCTCTCCCAAGAACGCGGGGCGCGTCTTTTGGTACCCTATACCAGGGCAAGTTCCCTAACCCATCCAGGAGCTTAGTTTGTCCCATCACTTCCTTCACATTTCATGTTCCTGTCTCAGAGCTGGGCGCTGAGGACATCCAGGTGCAGAAGATGGGGAGAAGTCAACGAACAGGTGAAGACAAGCAGCACAATTAATGCAATGCCTGCTGGACGCCAGGCCAGTGTGTTCAGTGCAGGGAGGGCCTCTGTTATAAGAGCCATGGAAGTCCCTGAGGGAGGAGAGGACACTTGGGCTGGATCTTGAAGGAGCAGAAAGTCCCGGAGGGATTGGCTTGGCCATGAGAGTAGGCTGTAATCTCTAAGTCAGGCCAACCCAGGACAGTCAGAGATGGTGTGTGCAGGAGAGACGGTGAACAGGTGATAGCTTGCAATTCTCAAGAATAACTGTAGAATGTGCTGGAAGTACAACTACTGAGATAAGGAGGAACTGGTCAGAACAGCTCAGGCTCTGTTCTAGTACCTCTTGTCCCCTTCCCCTCACCCTAAAGAAGACTTCTTTCAATGCTTTAGTCCAATATGGCACATGGTCACCAAGGGTAGGCTGGCTTCCAGGGCCCTTCAAGTCCAGTGCAAGCAGGGCACACACAGATGAGACTCCATTCACACCAGGAAACTTTTCTGAGCCTTGGGGCAACTGGCTTGAAATGAATCCAAGGCTTCTGTTGTCCCTTGTTGCCTATCTATAAGTAATACACCCACTTTATGTAGTGTGTGTGTGTGTGTGTGTGTTTTGTCTCATGGAACTTGGACAAGTTAGTGACCAGTGCACAGTGAATCTGCTTCTGGGTTCTAGCAGGGTGCTGTGGCACACACCTGTAACCCCAGTGGCTCAGGAGGCTAAGGATCAAGTGTTCAAATCCTATACCAAAAGGGAGGCATTAAGCAACACAGTGAGACTCTGTCTCTAAAGAAAATACAAAAAAAAGGGGGCGGGGGGGGGCTGGGGATGTGTCTCAGTGGCCAAGTGCCCTGAGTTCAACCTCTGGTACCTGCCCCCAAAAAGATAGCTGGCTCCTAATCCCAGCTGTGTGGCCTTGAGCAAGACACTGAACCTCTTTTGAGTTTCAGTGACAGTGTTTGTGAATTGGGCCAATGCCTATGTGATAAAGTCATTGGCAAGATTTCAAAAGAAAATGTACATGAAAACATCTAGTGTAGTGCCTGGCACTCAGAGGATCCTAAATACATGATCATTTCTTAAAAAGTAAGACAGCTGCAATTGCTGCTGCTGGAGACAGACATCCCAGGAGGTGAGGGCTGCATGTGGGAGAAAAGTTTGTCTCTGAACCGGGAACTGAAATGGAGGGAAAACAATAAGTCCTGTAGCTTCACTTGCTTTTCATTACACGATTTTAGTTGACTTTTCAAATCACTAATTTTGGAGGTTGCAGTGGAGTGATATATTATTAGTCTCCCACCAGTTCTGCACTAGATAACACCCCTGACATGGGGGTCATGATTATAACAGTTGCCTAGGTTACTTTTCAGGGACCTGAAGGCTATTGGTTGAAAACAATGATTCACCACTTGGGCCTATGCAGGTATCCAATTGGTGACATTTTGACATCAAGGGGCCAAAAACTCCACCCTCAGATGGTGCTAAAGGGACCCCATTTTCTAAACATGTGTCCTAAGAAGAGCTATGAAGACTGGTTACATTGTCAGGTGTGGTGGCACACATCAGTAATCCCACCGACACAGGAATCTGAAGCAGAAGGATCACAAGTTTGAGACTTGCCTCAGCAACTTAGCAAGAGCCTGTCTCCAAATAGAAAAAGAAAAGGGGTAGGGATGTAGCTCAGTGGTAGAACACCTCTGAGTTTAATGGTCAGTATGGGGGGGTGATCACACTTGGGATGTGCCAACCACTGATCACCTCCAGTCACACTGCTCCAAACCTTAAATCGCCCTGCTTCTTTATCCCATAAATATCCCCAAGCCCTGCCCTGTGGGAGGTGGGTCTGAGACTTGGTTCTCCCATCTCCTCATGCTTTGCTGCTTCATGAATAAACTTTCTTTTGCAAAACTCATGGTGTTAGTGATTGGCAAACTGCACAGCAGGCAAAACAGGCTGGTTAAGTAACAGTACCTATGTGCCTTGTAGAAGCCAACTGTTTTTTATTTCTTGGGTCAAATGACAGCCTGCTTTACTTTTACTGGGATGATTGGGAAGGATGGGAGGAGTGATAGTTAAAGGATATGGGGTTTCTTTTTGAGGTAACAACAACATTCAAAATTGACTTTGGTGGTGATGGTTACACATATCTGTGACTATATTGAAATCCAGTGGTGCCAGGCATGGTGGTGCATGCCTCTTATCCCAGTGGTTCAGGGGACTGAGGCAGGAGGATCAAGAATTCAAAGCCAGCCTCAGCAAAGGCACTAAGCAACTCAGTGAGACCCTGCCTCTAAATAAAATGCAAAATAGGGCTGAGGATATGTCTCAGTGGTCCAGTGCCCCTGAGTTAAATCCCCAATACCACCCTGCCAAAAAAACCCAAAACCAACCAACAAACAAACAAAAAAAAAAACAAAACAAAAAACCACTGGATAAACTACATTTTAAATGGATGTTTTGGATAGTATGTGAATTATATCTCAATAAAGCTCTTATTTTTTTATTTTTTTTTATTAGTTGTTCAAAACATTTCAAAGCTCTTGACATATCATATGTTCTTATTTTTTTTTTTAAAAAAAAGAATATTTCTTGTTGGACTTCTCTGGCAACAATGTGAAAAATGATTGACCAAGTAAAGCTTACAAAAGATAAAATGGAAGCCGGGTATGGTGGTGCACACCATAATCCTAGCAATTTGGGAAGCTGAGGCAGGAGGATTACAAGTTCAAGCCCGACTTAGTAACTTAGGAAGACCCTGTCTCAAAATAAAAAGGGCTGAGGATGGTTGTAAAGTATCCCTGGGTTCAATCCCCAGTACCAAAAAGAAGAAGAAGAAGAAACAGAAAAAATAGGTTTGCAACCTCAAAGGGATGGGGTGAGGGTTAGATTAAACAGATCATCTACTTAAAAAGTAGTATTCAGAGGAATCAGTCTGAAAGTGCTGGTTTCTCTTGAGAGTCCTCCTTTCTCCATCCACTCTCCATCCAGAGAGAGTACTCCAGCCAGAGACCAGGAAACATAGAGCTCTTTATGCCAAATGACAAAGAAGACTGGGGCTGGGGGGAGGGGCGGGAGGCAGGCCCGGTTGGAACCCTCCTCCCCTGGATTCACAGTTTCAGATGTCTTTCCATCTGCTCTCGGAGTTTGTATTTCTGGATCTGGATGAAAAACAAAGGAGCGAGAGTCAGGTGGGGTCCCCGCCTGTTACGGAGAGCAACCACAACCGTTTGCTTGGGACTGAGGGCTTTTTCAGCTTTTAGTGTTAAGATTGAGAAAGCCTGGGACAAATCAGGATGAGATGACAAATTAGTCCCCCTATGCTGCCTCTCCTGCTCACCACTGAGAGAGGCATGGGTTGGGCCACCTGGAGTCCCATGACACCCTGCCCCTCCCTGGCCACCTCCACTTCACACACCTTTCCTGAGACAGTGAGGGGGTAGTTGCTGACAAAGACGATGTAGCGGGGGATCTTGAAGTGGGAGATCTGCAGAACAGAAAGATAAAGCAAGAGGCTGGGCAAAGTCACAGGGCAAGGGTTGGGGCAAGAGGGTTCACTTGGCTGGAGAGTCATGTCTGTAAGGGCGGGGCATTCCCCAATCCTGGATGGTTGGCAGGAACAGGTGTGTGAGGGAACACTCAGGGGTCAGGGAGATGGAGGACGCTGAGGCTCCCACCTTCCCTTTGCAGAAAGCTTTGATCTCCTCCTCAGTGGTGGTCTCCCCACTCTTTAGCCGGATGCAGGCACAAATCTCCTCCCCCATCCGGTGGTCCTTCACTCCCACCACCTTCCAAGGTCAGAGACAAATATCAGACATCATCGTTTTCCCGCTTCTTTCTTGCTTCTTGGATCACACCTGGGCTCACCTGGCCTGGGTGCCTCACCTGCACTTCCTGCACCTGTGGGTGTGTGTGGAAGAAATCCTCAAGTTCTGCTGGGTAGATGTTCTCACCGCCCCGGATGATCATGTCCTTAGAGCGACCCACGATCTTACAGAAGCCCTGCTCGTCTATGGAGGCGATGTCTCTGTAGGTGAAGCCAAGGAATGCCCTCTATTCTCTGCTTTAACTGGCTCCCTTGCTCACTCATTCATCAAACATTTATTGAGCACCTGCTATATGTCCCCCACTGCTCTTGGAGACCCAGCAGGAATAAGACACATTCTCTGCAACTTATAGTCTAGGTAGGAAGGCAGAGAACAATAAACCAGTACAATACCTATCACATATTTTCTCTTTCTCTTTCCCTATCTTTGCACTTGCTTTTCAAGGCTAGTTTCTGTTTCATCATTCATGTCTTAGATCAAAAGTTTCCAGAGGCCTTCTCTGACCACCGGCTCTGAGGAAAGCTCCCCTCCCCATTACAGCCACCTTTTCTCCTATTGTGCACAGCATAGAATCCCATTTAATTTTTTGATGTCCAAAATAATCTGTCTTCCTCTTCCAGACAAGTGGGAAGTAAAAGCAGGGTCCTTTTTATCTTGCTCTCCATTGGGGCAACAGCAACAAGAACAATGCTGGCCCCTGGGAGGTGAGTACTAAGAATGTGCTGAGCTAACAAATGAGTGACTGAATCAATCTTGGCTCCAATTTTGGGAATATGGCTACAGCACAATGTTCTGGTGTCTTGCCTCCGTGCTAGGTGTGGTTACCCACGTTGTACACATTTTGGAAGTCAAGTCTCCAGGATGAGAGGGGCCCTCTGGACACCCACATCCTCCTTGTGCTAATGTGTCCAGCTCAGTCTCAGAACCCACAGTCTCCCCTCAGTAGCCGGAGTCTCTCCCCCACCCTGCCTTCTCACCCTGTTCGATACCACTTGTCCTGCCCAACTGCTTCAAAGGTCTTCTGAGGCTCTCCCCAGTATCCCTGCATGACGCAGTACCCTCGGATGCACAGCTCCCCGGGCGTGTTCAGCTCGGCCAGCTCCCCCGTATTCACATTCACGATCCGGGCCTGGGACAGGTCAACTTCAGGCTGGGGCCACCTGCCCACTCGTTCCAGGACTGGCAGCCCTCAGGGATGGGGAAAGCTTTGCCTCCCTTCACCCAATAATGAAGTCCCCTGGCTCTGCCCATCACAGCCCAGGGAAGGGAGAGAGGCCAGAGTAGACTCATCACCAGTCAGAGACCTGAGCTGGGCATGAAAGATCAGTCAAGGCCAAGGCCAGGGGGGCTGAGGGAAGAGGAGGCAGGGAAGGAAGCTTGTGGAGGGCCAGGCCAGCTGAAGAATTATAAACTGCAGAAGGGAAGGGAGTCTCCTCTGACTTCCTGTTAAGCACCAAATAAAGAAGCCAAGGAGGGTGGTGTGGCAGTGCCATGTGATCAGGAGGGGCAGTCTGAAAGCCTAGTACAAAAGGAACCACACACAGCCAGGCGCGGTGGCACATGTCTACAATCCCAGCAACTCAGGAGACTGAGGCAGGAGGATGGAAAACCCAAGACTAGCCTCAGCACCTTAGTGAGGCCCTAAGTAAATTAGCAAGACCTTGTCTCAAAAAAATAAAAAGGGCTGGGGATGTGGTTCAGTGGTTAAGAGTTCCTGGGTTCAATCCCCTGTACCAAAAAAAAAAAAAAAAAAAAAGAAAAAAAAAAAAAAAAAAAAAAAAAAAAAAAAAAGGAGCCACAGCCAGTGTGTCTCGGTTTGTGCATCCAAATATGGCCATAAATATGTCAGTTCCAGTCTACCTTCCAGTTGGGTATCCCAGTGGGGGTGGCAGTGAGGCTGTCAGATATGGGAGGGGCTCATATTCCTGCATACTCACTTCCCATGGGACTGCTCCAGTTGGGAGGGTAGGAGAGAGGAAATGCACCAGAGGAGAGGTGAGTTCCAAGGGAAGCAGCTGCATGGAGCCCCTAACAGTAACCCCACAGGGACAGAGAAACTGGTATGGCAAAGGAATCATGGCTGGGATTTTGAAATTGAGATGAGCTCCGGACAGTGTCTGGGATGCAAGGGACCCCCAGAGAGATAGGCTGCTTGGGAAACCGTCTACACCCAGTCAGAAGAGCAACTCCACCAAAGCGAGAGGCAAGAGTCAACGGGGGAAAAAGAGCTAGGTAGGAAAAATCTCTGTGCTCTGGCTCCTCTTTGAGGCTTCCCTGGCTGCCCTGAAGCAGACAGTGGGCTTGGCAAAAACACACCTCAGACAGGAAGGGAGGCAGCTGGCAGCTGCTCAGGGCCTCTCTCCCAGCTCTTCCCCTTTCAGCCCACAGAGAGCCTTGGCCAGGCCCAGCAAAGATCCTGCTTCTAGGGGCTTTCAGCATCTTCTGGGAACTGTTGGGACCTCTAATGGAAAGCAATAAATGTCCCCGAGTGGTGGAAGTTGAGATCTGAGGGTCTTGGTCAGGGGCTCACCTCTGTGTGAGGCATAACTCTGCCCACACTCTCTGCCTTCTGCTCCAGAGTGTCCTCAGGGAAGTTCATGAAGGTCACAGGACTGTTCTCTGTAGTTCCATAAACAACCTAGAGGGTCCAGAAAGGGGGTTTGACGGGAGCTCAGCAATTACAGAGGGATGAGTGAGCTACTCAGGGCAGGTGAATAGTAGGAAATGAGACATCATTGGTTGATAGGGGCCCGGGAAGGGGGCAGAGACATTGATCTCTGCAGGGGTCCCAGATCTGAAATAAAACTGAGTCCTGGGAAGCCATTCTGTCCTAGCCAGGGCTCTCAGTCCTGCTTCCTTAGAGCAGTCACATGTCTGTCTGTGGCTCCTGGCGTTACCAACATCCTAGACTTCTTTCCCCCATCCACATGCTGCCTTAGCCCCACCTTCCTGATTTCAGGCCACAACATCCTCTATTCCTTCCTTCCAAACCAAAGGCCCCATAAACTTGATGAGAAAGCCAGTCCACCTTGGCCAGCTAGAAGTGGCACAGATGCAACCCACCCCCAAAACCTGGGACAAGTGCCTGACCTTGGGGTGGGTGCCCCAGAGCTCTGCAGAATTTCCTGTAAATTTACTTTCATCAAAATAAAATACAACCAGAGCAGGGATTTAAAAAAGCCTGTGGCACACACAACCCCCAGCCCCACCCCTGCTCTTTCAGTGGTTGGAACATCCTGAGCATCAGAAAAATCAGAAGCCAGCCTAAATACCATCAGAGAATGTTCCAGACTACCCTGTATTCTACTAGATCTTTACCTGTGGTCCCCCATCCCCCTGTATCAGCTGGTGTGGCTCTGGCACAGCTGGGATCTAGTTCCTCCCTTACCCCTCAAAATGGACAATATCTCCTGCCAGGCAGCCCAGAGCTTACCTGGGACCAGAGCTATGACCTTCCTGCTCACCCTCCCCTGTCCACAGGAATCCGGACACGGTGGCTGGCAAGTGGGCACACAGAGACCTGACCCAGCTGGGGAGGGCTGCCCACAACCTTGTGCATCTTGCGCCTGAACTGGCCAGGGCTGATCCTGACCCCACCTCAACCATCCTCACAGTCCTGGGGCCACTGCCCAGACGTGGCCTCTGCCAAGTACACCTTGGCGCCACTCGGCTGCCACCCTGAGACCCCTCAGGGGTGGGTCTTGACCACTGGGAGATGGGTATACTTTGGGGGAGATCTAGGAGGGGGATGGTACGACTGTGTTTGTCCCGGGGCCTGTGGTCTCCGAATGTTTTGCCAGTTTTGTGGGTCACTTCCCACGCCTCCGCCCCCAAGTTCCCACTTCTCTGCTTAGCCTTCAGCCCTAGAAAAAGGGTGGGTGCGCGGGTCAGAATCGCAAGCCTAGGACTAGAAGAGAAGAGTCAGGGAGGAGCCCAAGGATGAAGGAACTCCTTAGGGTCGGCTCTGGAGTGTCTAGCCAGAAGGGGGAGCCCGACGCCAGAAGGGCTCTCACGCTCGGCTGGCGCAGCACAAGAGTCCCATTAAAGCGCCGCCGGGTTGCCGACCACGGCGAGACGCGTCCCGCTGTCCAGCCCGCTTCCTCTCTCCCCGGGTTCAGGGCACCCCGCCGAGTGTGCATTGGGTGGGGGAGACGTGGAGATTCAAATTTGAGCAAACAAATAAGTTCGGGGAACGCCTCCTCTCCGGTGTAAACTTGGGGCTCTAGACACACCCATGATCACCCTCCCCCCCAAAAAAAAGCCCAGGGAAAGGAGGTAGGGGGAGAAAGGGCATCTCATCTGAGAGCAGGCAGCAAAGGTCTCAGACTGAGGGGTATAGTCTTGGTCGCCAGGTGGGGGAAGGGCCCCTGGCCCTCTCGCCATGGAGGGCGGGGGAGCATCTCTGGGCGCGAGGGAGTTAAGTCCAGTGGCCTCGATGCTCCACGTAGTAGCTGGCTCAGGCCGCTGGCTGCGGTTAGGGCCACCGTATAAATAGGGCGGGAGACCCGAGCGCCCAGAACTTGCCGCTGCCCGCACCTGGCCGTCGCTGACCCTAGCCCGGGCTCCAGGCATCCTGGCCATGGCCCGCGCGATGCTCTTACTCAGCCTCGGCATTCTGGCCAGCCTTCTGCCGGCCCTGGAAGCCTGCCCCCAGAACTGCCACTGCCACGGAGACCTGCAGCATGTCATCTGTGACAAAGTGGGGTTGCAGAAGATCCCCAAGGTGTCAGAGAAGACCAAGCTGCTCAACCTACAGCGCAACAACTTCCCGGTGTTGGCTGCTAACTCGTTTCGGGCCATGCCGAACCTCGTGTCGCTGCACCTGCAGCACTGTCAGATCCGCGAGGTAGCCGCCGGCGCCTTCCGCGGCCTCAAGCAGCTCATCTACCTGTACCTGTCCCACAACGACATCCGAGTGCTTCGTGCGGGCGCCTTCGACGACCTGACTGAGCTCACCTACCTCTACCTGGACCACAACAAGGTGACCGAGCTGCCCCGCGGGCTGCTGTCCCCTCTAGTCAACCTCTTTATTTTGCAGCTCAACAATAATAAGATCCGTGAGCTGCGCACAGGCGCCTTCCAGGGCGCCAAAGACCTGCGCTGGCTCTACCTGTCAGAAAATGCGCTCAGTTCTCTGCAGCCCGGAGCTCTGGACGATGTAGAGAACCTCGCCAAGTTCCATCTGGACAAGAACCAGCTATCCAGCTACCCCTCCGCCGCCCTGAGCAAGCTGCGGGTGGTGGAGGAGCTGAAGCTGTCCCACAATCCCCTGAAGAGCATCCCAGAAAACGCCTTCCAGTCTTTCGGCAGGTACCTGGAGACCCTCTGGCTGGACAACACCAATTTGGAGAAGGTGAGTGCTTGACTGCAGAGCTCTGCCGGGCTCCTTCTTCTCCCCCTGAAGGCTGGGAGCTAGGACCACAGCCGGGCACCATCCCCTCTCCTCAAATTCCCTGTCCCTCTGGCTATCTCAAGGCAAGGAGCTCTGCCACCTCTCCCTCTTCTTGTCACATCCCCACCCTCATCCTTATCTGGCTGCCCTCCCAGGACTCCTGCATCTAAGAGGAGAGGGGCTACCCTGGCCCCACAAATGGCCTCTTAGGAGCCTCTGTAGTGCTCCCAAACCCCCACTGTGAGCAGTGCCCACCTCTTCCGGTGGGGCCTTCCTCCCCTCCTCTGCTGTTTTTCCCAGTCTCCAGTAAACCTACCATCCCATAAAGAAAGGTTTGTTTATTGAGAAGGCTTCCAGAGTTTCTGGGCAAATCAGGCCCACAAAGAGACCCTGTTCCTGGTGGGGGAAGGCCTGTGTGTTAAGGTGGACTGGGGGGCTGGGGAGTGAGGGGGGAGCAAATACCTGAGGAAGACCTCTACACCCCTCAGAGGTCCTGGTGGATGTGCTGCCCCCACCCCCACCAATGCGTGCGCGCGCACACACACACACACACACACACACACACACACACTTACTCACTCATGCCATGACATTTTCAGGTTCATTCTACCTAAGTAGGGAAGTCAAGACATGGGGACCAAAGACTCCCTAGGCTGCAGAGCCATATGAAGGAGCAAAGGCAAGCACTCCATTGTCAGCCCTTTGCACTAGACAACCCACAGGAAAGCCTGGGCTGTGTGTGCTTCACTGTCCCCCAGACTGCTGGCTGCCTTTTGCCCATTCTAGTCCCCAGACCCATCTCCTGTGTGCATTCTCACTTAGTCCTTCTACCCCTGGGATGCCAGATCTCTTCCTTAGGACTGGAAAATCACCCTGAGACAGAGGCTTCAGACAGGAGGTTTGGGTGGGAGCCAAGACAAGGTAGAGGACAGTCTGGTCACTAGAGAATGTCACACCTTAACCTAGGCTGTTGGAGAAGGCACAGACATGGAGAAGATGACAGAATCCACCTGGGCAGCAGCCAAACTTTGCCTGATTGGATGGAGCCTGCCAGGGCTTGCCCTTCTGTAGCTCAGACCCCACCCTCGCTGGTGGTGGGATCCTCTATGAGCCACTAGTGCCAGAGTGGCCTTTTGGTGGGCAGCAGAACAGCATATCAGGGACTGATTTGGGTTAGGGGCAGCCAGACAGGAACAGTGGCGCCTGGGGCCAAGATGTGGGCACCAATGGAACATTTCCTCTGGAGCTGTCCAACTGGCCAATGTTTTCACCAAGGTGGCTCCACAAATAGTGTCTGGCAGGCAGTGAGGATAAAGCTGGGGGAAGTCCCAGGACCCTGGGCTGTGGGCAGCCTGGGCCTGCTGCCTACCCTGCCAAACACTGACCAGGTTCACCGTGTGCCAGTCTGAGCTCCTGGGGACAAATTCTGGCTGCCTTAGCAGACCAGTATTTGCACAGGGAGTGTGGTGCCCAGGGGAGGGGTGTGGGGTGTGGTCCTAGGGCTACTATTTACTCTCTAGCGTGACTCTGGCTACAGGGACAGAACTTTTTTTCCTTTTTATCATCTGCTGGTTAGAAACAACACCTCCTATCTCAAAAGGGCCATGGGGATTAGCTCGTCTAGATAACTTGATCACTCTGCTTTGAAAACTCTTCAAGGTACCAAGGCCTGTGTCCAGGGGAAGACCCTGCTCCTCTGTGGGGACAGAACTGGGAAAGGCTGCACATAGGCTAGAGCACTCACTCCGGCCCACCTTACCTCCCTAGTTCTCAGATGGTGCCTTCCTGGGTGTGACCACGCTGAAACATGTCCATTTGGAGAATAATCGACTGAACCAGCTGCCCTCCAACTTCCCTTTTGACAACCTGGAGACCCTCACCCTCACCAACAACCCTTGGAAATGTACCTGCCAGCTTCGGGGTCTTCGGCGGTGAGAATGTTCCCATGTCACCCACAGAATCTCCCCTCATTTGGTCCCGCATTTAGCGATCCTGGGCACACATTCCAGATTTGCTAGTAAGCACGGGACCCTGGGAGCCTCAGTTTCCTCATTTGTAAAAATGAGGACGACAGCTTCTGTCTATCCAGAGGTCAAGTCCATCCTGGCCCTATAGCTCACTGTCCCTTCCCCTCAGTATTCCCACACACTTTCCCCAACCCCAGCAACTTTCTGTTTCTCCAGATGGCTGGAAGCCAAGGCTTCTCGCCCAGATGCCACCTGTGCCTCACCCGCCAAGTTCAAGGGCCAGCACATCCGTGACACAGACGCCTTCCGCAGCTGCAAGTTCCCCACCAAGAGGTCCAAGAAAGCAGGCCGCCATTAAACAGGTGGGGGCTGGGCAGGCAGGTCCCCCTTTTTCCTCTTTGGAGATTCTAGCAAGGGAGCTGGTATCACTCATGATTCCCCCACCTCTGCAGGAGGGGAGAACTGGTGTTCCCCTCTGGGAGGAAAAGATAGTGCCCAGGACTCCCACTGTCCTCTCTTACTTTGTCTATGATGTTGGAGTCCTAACACACATCCTCACCTCACCACAGGTCCTGACTCAGCCAGTCCTGGTGACTGGCCTCTGCCTTCTGCCGGAGAGACTACTGACCTTCCCACCACCACCCGCTCCTCCCCTCAACCTCTGCTGATGCACAGAGCTGCCCACAGCGACACACGTCCTGGCAGAGGGCCCTAGGCACTGTACCACCAACCCAGCTCCACCTGACAGAGTGCAAGGGAGGACCCAAAGCCCCTCTCAACCATCACGGCTGGCCCTGTTGTGGCTCCTCTCAGAGAAGCTGGTGTCAACACCCCCGAGTCCAGCAGAACCAGAGCAGGGTGATCATCAGGATGGTCACCCTCCCAGAACCATCCTTCTTCTGTTCCCTCTCTCCCTGCCATTTGGAAACAAATATCAGACCCTTAGCCCACCCCCTGCTTCCAGAAACGGTCTCAAGCCCTTCCTCCAACTCTGCCAGCCCCACCTGCCAGGACGCTCTCACAGGACACCAGTGCTTGGCTGCACATCCTCCCCTGCTGCGTTTCTGCCCCAGATTTCTATAAGTATAAATTTATGGATGTATAGTATTTACTCCCTGGTCACCTATCTCCATGCCTCGTCAGGTGCTGAAGAGGCCAGACGTGTGTTTTCTCATTTCTACTTTCTGGAAAGAGGGCTGGCCTAGGGGTCACCTTTGGAGATCTGGCCTCAGTTCATCCCCAGACCTGTCATTCAGTCCTCCCCCCACCCTCCCCTCACCCCCAGTGACTCTGGCTGCCACTCACCACCAGCTCCTTCATGTTCATTTTGTGGATGATGGCTCGGACCAGCTCCGGAGGTGCAGGGGACCCGGCGATCACACCTGAATCAGAGAGCAAGGCTGACACAGCTCCCCCTTCTCCCAGATCAGTGGACCCCCTTTACCTACTGCTGGTTGATCCTGGACCTTCTTTCCTTCTTTCCCTGATCCTGAGCCTATTTCCACACCTAACATCTGGCCTGCGCCTGGTGTCCAGGGACACTGGGGATTTGCCTCCCTCTCACCCATGTTTTCACAGGGCCCTTCCTGTCCCCCTAAAGAGAAGACTGGCTCATTCAGGCCAGTCCTGGGGGAAAGCAGCCCCGTCCCCATGCCTGGCCATCCTACCCCACCTCCACATAAGGATGATAAGTCGTAACTGGAGAAGTCGGCCTGGTTCATAATGTCCACGAACATCGTTGGGGTGCCAAATATGGAGGAGCCTCTGTGTAAGGGGAGGGTCTTCAAATTAGGCTTGGAAATGGAAAGGAACTCCCTCTTCCCACCCCACCATGAACCTCATTAAGGGCCAAAGCCAAAGCTGTGGGGAACAAGCAGAAGCTCAAGGCAGGAATTGGTCTTCTCCTGGGAGTCCCCCACGACCCCATCCCAGGTCTCATGACTAGAAGGAGGAGACATTTTGGAAAAGGTCAGGGCTCAGGTGCAAGGACTAGGAGAATCTCATCAGCCCATGGGTAGCCTGTCTACCAGTGCCCACTTCTCTCTGGTGATGGCCTCCAGCGCCTTCTTGCCATTGAAGCTCGGAGAGGACAGAAGGAGAGTGGCACCGTACATCAAACACACCATCGTGCCCCCCACGGAGCCCAGGCAGTGGTACAGGGGGCAGGGCATGACCACCCGCAACTCCTCTGGCGGCTAAAGATGGAGACATGAGGCTGAGTCTATCATGGGAGTAGAAGCCCCAGAAGCCAGTTCCTCCAGCCAGCAGGGGGAGCCCAGCAAGCTGTCCCACTCTGCCCACCTCCCCACAGCCTCCAAACCTTGCCCCAGTCCAAACCCATCTCACCTTCATATGCATTTTAAGGCGCTGACCCATCATGTTGGAGTTGTTCACAATGTTGTAGTGGGAGAGGGTGGCCCCCTTGGGGCTGCCTGTGGTTCCCTACGAAGACAAGCAGGTGACACCTTGGCCTGCTTTCCCCCATCTCCTTCCCACCCTCAGCCACTGCCCAGGATCGATGCCCCAGATCCATTTGCTTCTCTGGTATATGTACCAAAGGTCTACCACGTGCGGCGAGGGGCCAGATGTGGGGATCCAGAAATGCGAACGAGAAGGACTCAGTGCTCATGTCACTCCCATGTGATTCAAGTGAGGAAGCCCACTAGCCCATGGGGGCTTGGACAAATTCTCTCTCTGGGCCTCAGATTTGCTTCCACTAAAGGAGGGACAGGTTCTACCAACTTTAAACTCTGAGCCCTAGTGGCTCAGTAAATCTGTACCACACTGGGGAGCAAGAGGGCCAGGAAAGGGTCGTGTGACAAGGACACCAGCGATTTTCCAAGGCAGAGCAGAAGGGTAGAGGCCAGTGTCAGGAGAGTGCCTGCTCTCCTGACTTCCTGTGGTCTCCCCATCCTTGGGAATGGGTCACAGAGGGAGGGGGCATGTGTCAGCTGGGTTTGGGGCCTGGGGACCTCTGCCCTACCGAGGTGAACTGGATGTTGATGGGGTCATGGCAGGACAGGAACTGCTGGGTGTGTTGGAGCTGGGCCAGATGCTGCTCTGTGCTACCAGCCGCCACCACATCATCCAGCAGCAGGGTCCCCGGCAAAGGGTCGTCCACTGAGATGACTGCGGTCAGATCTGGGAGACTGGGGGATAGGGAGGATGGTGAGAAGCAGGGGCTGTGGGTAAGTTAGGGGTTGCTCCAGGGGATGCCAGCCCCACCCCTGGGGCTTGATGGAGGGTAAAGGAGTCAGGGATGCTTCGTGGTGCTCCCTAAATCCAGGATACACCTACCTCTTACTCTTTAAGGCCCCTGGCTGGGCCTTTTCAAGCTCCGGACAGATCTGCTTCAAGATGTTGTAGTATTGCTGGGTCTTGAATTGCTTGGGGAATACAAGGGCTTTGCAGCCCACCTGTGGAAGGGCACCCCCCCAACTTATGATCAGCAGGAAGCCCTAGACTAATCATCTGCTCTTTTACACATGGGCATCACTACCCTGATGTGCGCAAGCACCATCCTCTGACCCACACACCGGCCGCACCTGCATGCACCCGACTCCACAGCAAACACACAACCAGCTCCAGACACCACACCCTGAGACATGGGCCACACACGCAGAGCCACACTGGCCCATGACCACTGTGATACACACGTGCTCCCCAACAACACGCACGCCAGCCTTGTGTCTGGCCCACCACCAGAGGCTTGGGTCCTCCTTCCAACCACAAACAGCTGGGGGAGGGACACCCTTGCTGCATGGCCAGGTCTAGCCCCTGAGCCAGGCACCAGCAGGGGCCCTGAGCTACCTTTTTGAGGACATACTCCAGTTCCATAGCCTGGTAGGCTGGGTTCACAGACACCTGGGGGGAACAAGGAGGGAATGTCTGTCCTGGGCAGCCACTCCACCCTGCAGATGGCCCTCTACTCTCAGAAGGCACGAGGTAGCACACCACCCGGTCTACGTGGTGGGCTTTAAGAGATAGAACTACGTGATCTGAAACCAGCCAGGCACTGGTTTGGTTCTGGGGCCAAGAGGCAGGTGGGCTCCTCTTGAGTGGCATTCCCCCCACAGATACCCCCCTGCACCATGCAAACCTCCTTACCAGAATGATGCCTGCCTGGGCAGTGGCCAACTGCATGAGCACCCATGCATAGGAGTTGGGTCCCCACATGCCCAACCGGTCACCCTTGCAGAGGCCAATGCTCAGAAGACCAGAAGCAGCTTTATCCACCTGGTGCAAACAGATGGATCACAGAGGGTGAGATGGGAGCAAGCAGGAAGGGGCCCATGACTCTCACCCTCAGCCCTTGGCCCAAGGGTTCACATCAGAATCACAAGGAATACAGGGACAGGCAGATTCGCCTCAGTGGAGCTCTGGGTGGAGCTCGAGGTACACACAGTTAACAGTGCTCCAGGAGCTGCTGAGACAGACCCTCTCTGCCTCAGTTACATCTGCTTCTCTTGCTGTCCCTTAGGTCCTCAGGCAACGCCACCACACTGCCCATCATCATGCCCCATCCTCCAGCTCCACCCACCCAGGGAAGCCTGGGGACTGGCACCCTTTGAGGGTTCAAGGTCAGGACCCACCTCTTTCTTGAGTTGGGCGAAGTTCAGCCTGATGTTTTCATGGAGGACAACCAAGGCCTCTCGGTCGGGGAACCTCTGTGCTGTGGCATCAAGGCACTGCCCCACAGTCTTGTTGCTAAGAGGGAAACTGGTGTGTCCCTGAAGGTAGCTGAAGCCCCCGACGGGCAGTGGGGCGGTGCGTTCCAGCTCTCCGGAGCTGTGGGGAGAGGGTCACGGTCTGAACTGTGCCAAGCTGGCCCTCCCTGCCAACAAGGACACCCAGCACACCCAGCCTGGGGTCAGACTCCCAATGTGTCGGAGCAGAGTTTTCTCTGGATCTTTTTATAAGCCCAGGACACTTCCTGTGATGCTTCCCCAACCTCAAACAAAACCCCAAGGTAGTAGGATGGGGACAAAGCCACCTCAAGTAGGGGACAAGGGTTCTTCCCTCACCTGCCTCACCTGAAGGATAAGGTGCCCCAGGAAGCCTGTGGGAGACCACTTATACACACACAGAGATCTTATGAAGCATGCCTGTACCTATACCCCCAATCCCTGCCTGCCAGGAAATAAAGAGGTCCCTGGGGTCCTTAGAAACCAATGAAGCCCATGCTTGGACCCAGAGTGGGAATCCAGGGCCTTGGGTTCTTTGATGGGCCATTGTTTCTCTCCTCTGGGTCTAAAGTTCAAAGACAAGAATAGGCAAAGGGTTTAGGAGGCAGATGGCGGCCCTAGGAACCGTGGTTGGAAAGATCCTGTTATTTGACAGACTGACCAGGTTGCAGCAAGAATCTTCCCTCCCACAGATGAAGAAGAAAGTCCCTGTGTTCTGAACGGCACCTGGGCTCAGGCTCCCAACTCTCCGGTGACACGGCAGAGCAGAGGTAATTGTGACAGGAAAAGAGGGGGAGTATTTGGACCACATGGTGATCTCAGGCACCACAGGGCAACAAGACAGAAGGAGATGGTGCCTCAGGAGCAGAGGTCCCGTGCCAGCCACAAGTGGACTGTCCCTGAAGAGGAAACGCTCATCTCCTTTATGTCTAAATGTCTGAGGTTACTTTATATTTAAGGGTTTTATTTATTTGTTTGTTTGTCACACCTGACAGCAGAATGCATTTCAATTCATAGTACACATATAGAGCACAGTTTTTCATTACTCTGGCTGTACAAGTAGAGTCACACCATTCGTATCTTTGTCCGTGTACCTAGGGTAATGATGTCCATCTCATTCTACCCTCTTTCCTACCCCCATACCCCCTCCATTCCCTCCCTCCCCTTTGCCCTATCCAAAGTTCCTCCATTCTTCCCATGATCCCCCACCCACCCACCCCCATTATGGATCAGCATCCACTTATCAGAGAAAACATTTGGTTTTCTTGGAATTGGTTTACTTCACTTGATATGCTCCAACTCCATCCATTTACCTGCAAATGCCATGATTTTATTCTCTTTTAATGCTGAGTAATATTCCATTGTGTATATATGCCACAGTTTCTTTATTGCCTAAGGTCACTTAATATACAGTGTGAAACTGATGT